TAAACACAAGGCCACAGTAGGAGATGGCCAAACAAAACGTAAATATTAAATAACAAAAGCCTAGGGTAACATGAATTGGGCTTTTTTTTATATAGAGAGGAGTAAAAGAAGAACCAACGTCTGTCGAAAAGAGTCACTGTGCAAAGTTCATTACATATCCCATCCCTATATCGAGAGAAGAAGGATAATAATTGATCTGAAATCATGAGAACTTCTCATTGAGTGCTTGCATTTTTAATAACCTGACAGATTTCTTCAAGCTTTCAAATATGCATTTCAATCCATGGTGTAAATTTTCGTGATAGGGTAATTTCCCTAGTGCAACGGATAACTGAATTATTCACAGAGCAAACATTTCTTCTTCTTTTTTTTTTTAATTTAAAACCAATTTTTAAAAGAGACGCAACTTGCTTGTATCACTGTTCTCGTTTGAAAAATTATACCGATCAAAAATGTCAATGTTTTCTCCATGAAATGGAAGAAATATTTCAATTTCATACAAATGATCATGAATCTCTTTAAAAATGATATTTGAACAAGCATGAGTATCTGAAGCGTTGTTTAACTTTTGACAAGTTCAGACTCCGCCAATATTCTGATATATATATATATATATATATATATATATATATATATATATATATATATATATATATATATATATATATATATATATATATATATATATACACAGAGAGAGGTTACAAGTAGATAATTTTAAGCATTCTCACGTTTTAAATCGACTCTTGAACAATCAAGTTTTAAACAATCGTTCATGAGACCTCTACCACTGATTTCAAATAACGACAGATATTGTGAGGAGATCTCTGTGAGATCTTATGATCTGTAAATGTGTAGGGGAGATAAAGACAATATACCTCAGAATAATAAAGTTAAGATTAGTAGAGGAAAAGGATGGCGGCTACAAATGCATCGCACCTGTTTCATAATTAAGTCTTATTCTATTTTTGAATTGACTGCGTTTGAGTAAATACAACAATTACAAAGTCTAAATTTTGTATTTTCTCCCTTCTGGTAAATTCAAAATTTAGAAAATGTCAGTTGACCCAGCTTACACTATTTTTACTGGGATCAAATACTGTTCTTGAATTATTTAAGGATATTCAAAATTAGGATAAAATAGGTCAGTAATAACGAGACGTAATCAGGAATCGTCATATCAAAGTTTTTATGTAAAAATAATTATATAAAATCATAATTTTGCAGTATGTTTGTATTTGTGTTTGAAGGGTTGCTCTAAAGGCACATAAATACTTCAACTTTTCTATCGTCATCTTCCCTAATTTATATAGCAATATACCCTTATCACCTGCACATGGAGTTAATGTCTCCCAGTTGATTCGATACGCCAGAGCATGTATCATGTATGGACAATTTCTAAAACGAGGCAAGCTATTGACAAATAAGTTGATGAAACAAGGATATGAATAGTCTAAATTGAATTCAACATTTGGCAAGTTCTTTGGTCGATGCAATTGGATACCATATCAGCAAATACAATCATTAAGTTGAATGATGACTGGCGTTTTTCATACTAATTATTTTGTAATTATTTACACACTGTATTATCTACGGATTTTTCCGTTTACCCGATCTTGTCAAGGAGCACACGGCGGGTGTGACTGGTCGACAGGGGATGCTTACTCCTCCATGGCCCTTGATTCCACCTCTGATGTTTTTGAGGTCCCTGTTTACTCTGCTCCCGATTTATATTGTTTCAATGGACTTCTGAGGTTGATTACTGTTCGTTTTCTCTATATTTCATATGAATCCCGCCAAAATAAGCAAACATGCACTATACAAGCTGTGACTTCTGGCGAAAAAATGTGTATTTTCGAAATGGATATTGCCGTGCATCACTCTTTTGTTTACTAAGGATTTATGAAGTAAAATAAATGTGGTTTAGAAAGAACGAGTGCACTTAAGGGCCCCGGTAAAATGTGAAAAAATGAAGAATCAAATTAAGCATAATTTTTCATCTCAGATCATTAATTGATATCTAAACCATAAGATTCAACAAATTTTTTCGCTGAAATTCATGAATATACAAAGAACAAAGCCATACAATGTGGTAGTGGTCAGCCGACATTCGTGATTTTCTATTGGAAATCGAGGACGGTCATTCATTTCAAAGCTTTTGTTTACTGTCAGCCTAACGTTGTACAAACTTGTGCGAATGACAAAAAGCGCATTATACATTTATAAAACTTGTGTGAAAGTAGGAAATTTGTACAAGATTAGGCTTGTACTTAAAATATCAAAAATGGTATGAAAAGTTCAATGTTTTTCCTATAGCAAGCGAAAGCTATTTACCTGCAAGACCTATGTTGAACCCACCCGTGGAATAAATTATTTAAAATACCGGTAGTCACGTGAGTTCTACCCATGTAAACATTCCTCAAAGGTGCTCACTGTAAAGATAGCCATGCACGTTTTGTATCATTATATTGAAGTCGTGTCGCATAGAGAAGTTTGTATGTATTTGGTTTTAGGAACACGGGAGGGTTAGGAGAGTTTAGTGTCGTTAAAATGTCATCATACATAAAAGCGTCAACATTTTTAACATTCATGCAAGACAATGCTACCGGTATTGAAAGCCACCTAAATACACTTTTTTTCATTTTAAAATTTAAAGTAACTAATGTTAATACTTATTGTATTATTTCAAAATGCAAGCGTGCAAATTTCTTAGTTTGATCACTATGGCTATAGGCATCTATACAACTTCATTCGATTTTTTTCTCAGGTAAAATAGCGCAGGAAGTATCATTCGGCAAACGCGCCCGTCAATGATCCACCATCAAATTGTTTAAGTGTCCGATTTAAATGTCTCCTCCCCTTGATTTAAATAAACGAAACTCAGATAGGTTCGGTGCGACTTTTCCGGATTTGGGGTATCTATAGGCATTTTAAATTCTTCATTTGTTTAAAATCCGTGCTGATTTAGGTGATGTTTTAACGTGATTTTAATTAAAAATATCCACTTGTGTTTAACTATTACCAAATGAGAACAATTTGGAAATATATTCTAAAGTAATACGGCACTGAAAAGAGCCCATTAAGCATTGCTTATGTGCACTTGTCCAAATTTACTACATCGTAAATCAACCTTCATGTAAAGGCACAATGTCCTCGTTCTGAATTTCATTAAAATCCCAACATTGATTTTTATCAACAAAAAAAAAATCAATTCAAATTGTGTAATATATAAACATTATAACATGGTTTTATTTTCTAACATTTGAATCCTAGCATTTTCTTCCGAACTAGTCTGCATTTGAGTAAACGCACTGATAATTTTTTTATTTAAAGAGTATTTTATATCTCCACTCACATTTCCCTTCACGCAATCATTTTCATGTGTGCAGTTCACATAATCGTGTTAATCCGAGTTGTTTAAAAGTGTTAATTGGATTCAGTATGGTTTCAGGTTTTATAATTTTACACCCAGAGATAAAATTAATTAGGGCTAGCTTTTAAAGGTGAGAGAAGCATACAGTACATATTAAAACTTTGCGTAGATAAAAAAAGGATAATTTCTAATTTGAATCATTGATGAGATTTATCCTGTGAAAACTCCGTTGCATATGTGCTGAAACTTGAATTCTACAAAGGTTACGTATGAACACATGAAATGCTTAATTTTGTTGCTAAACAAAGTGTATTATTACCGAATTTTGCGCAAAAATAGATAATTTCAGTTAAGAAATGGATTTCAGATTTTGAAAAGGTCCTGAAGGTTTTTCATTCATGAAGCACATAAACCAATGTAATATCGTCACAATAAGCATGGCAAATCTGAGTTAAACCTCGGATACATTTGATAATTATAAAATAAAACGAATGTCTATCATATTTGTGACTAAAAAAACCGTGGGGTTTTTTTTCTTCAAAGAGGTTCGGACATTCTGAAAAATGGATTCATTGACAACTGAAACAAAACATTCTGCCAATTGAAATACTTTATGGTGCAAAGTACATGTAATAAATTAGAAGAAGCATTTAACTAATATACTTGTATGTTTAATATTTAATTTTACTGGTGATTGTTTTCAATATTCGCAAATGTGACGTAAATGTTAATTTCAAAGATTGACATTTCTTATGTATGTGCGATTTTATCGTCTGTATGCTGCTGCATGTGTTAAATTGAGGTGTAATAAATGTTTATGAATTATCTGATAGACTTTAATCTTCCCGTTGTTTTAATCATTACACCGAAATCAGCTTATCCCCTTAAATTATATTTTTGTCCTTAAGAAATACAGTAGAAAAATGTTTCAAATTTATAAAGAGGTCGACAATGAAATTATCTAACATATACTTTTGCTGATGAGGGTAGGGTAGAATAGTAATCGTTTCAAGTTAAAAAACAAATATAACAAAAACAAAAAAGAAATCAACCTGCAAGTGGTGTTTATTGATTAAAGTTTACTGTTTATCATATACATGTAATAGAGTAAATTGTAGAGGATAAAATGACTTCTATTTTTAAAAAAAATTAAATTATTTGCTTTCTTTATATTATTCCTAACGGTAAATGTATTATAATACTAGTAGTAAGAGTGGGTCAATGGTAAGAGTGCGTCAATGGTAAGAATGCGCCAGTCTTAAGAATGCGTCAGTAGTGAGAGTGTTTCAGTCTTTAGAGTGCTTCAGTGGTAAGAGTGCTCCATTTTTAAGAGTGCGTCAATGTTAAGAGTGATTCACAGTATTATCTGCATTTTTTCAGAATGCTGAAAAACAAAATCTTAAAATAATTTAACCATCAATTAAAATCAACTTTTAAAGAAATTGATACACAAGATTTGGTTAAATTTCTTATTGTAACTATTAACTCGATACTTTGTACATGCACGCACTGTACCTCCCCATATACTTTATACATGAAATGACATATGAAAACACAGTGGGTGTGATGACGTACGGGCTCTTAACCAATCACATATGCTCAGTAATTAACACTTTGGTCTTTTCAGATTGCCATTTAACAGTCAAACATCACCCATCTTCCCCAGAGAGTAAGAAAGATCAACAAGAGACGTAAGTATTTTTTAGGGTTCTTAAATGGTGTGATAATTAACTGATAAATTCAGTTGTTTTATTCAGAATCATTGTTAATGTTTATACCATTTGACGTCCTTCTTTAAAACATTTATTCTTTTGCAGATGAAAATGAATGTAGCAGCTTTATTTTTAACAACAATCCTTTGCACGTGCGCGGAATCTTATATATTACAAGAGCAGGAAAATCAACCAGCCGGGTCTTCCAATCTAGAAGAAGGTTCCTTACCAATGGAAAAGCGCGGAAGACTCTCACTAACTGCTGATTTAAGAAGTCTAGCACGCATGCTTGAGGCCCATCGAAAACGTTACATCGCAAGTCGATCACCGTACGACTCTATTCGTAAGAAATTGTTCAAATTCGGTAAAAGGACCACCTTACCAGAACGACAGCTGTACGATGAAGGAGGTTCGGAAGAGTCTGATGATTTGTCCCAGACCAGCGATGAGTTACCCATCTATACAATAAAACGACAGCGTTTATCTGTAAACGGCGCCTTGTCATCTTTAGCAGATATGTTAGCGGCGAGTGGACGACAACGGATGAGATCCGAGATGGAGATTAACAGACAAAGACTTTTTGGACTAGGAAAATAGTTATTTTAGATTTAGTATATTTAGAGTTCGAGTTCAAATTTAAGGGGGGATATAGACTTCATTGATCCTTTGGACACAATTAACCATATCTCATGTATATTTTCCTGATTATCATATTGACAACTATTCTGTATCAACTTTCTTTGAAAATTATTCTTTATTTATTATATTTGGCTGAATAAATTTTAAAAAATCGAATGTTTCCTTTTTAATTTATTTTCAATCAGTTGTGTGTCTTTTAAGTTTAATTCCATACATTTTTAAAACAGCCATATTGTAGTAGTATCATACTTTGTTAAAAAGTCATAATCTTTAGAATATACATATAATTACCATTATATTGTTATAAAACACATATCACGTAGCCCATGCGAATCAGTAGTTCAGTAGAACATTTAAATGTCGGTGGAGTTTATACAATACATGTACATAATTATGCAAAATCGATGAAATAGTGTTATTCTTTACAGAAGGACCAGAAATCAAGCAAAGTGATATAGAAATTTTTTATGAACATCCGTTTTCTTTTTTTAAAATTTTATCTGGCGATGAAAGTCAGATGTTCTAAAGAAAAGTTAGACTGACAACGATCAATTAGTACCAAAAACTCTGATGGGTACAATATAGCTGGATCAGAACTTGAGCAAGATTACTGAATCGGAAAATACAGATTACATACAAATCTGAAACATCTCTGGTCATCTTTAGTTGTTTGTTTGTTTGTTTATTGTTTAACGTCCCTCTCGAGCATTTTTCACTCATATGTAGACGCCACCACTTGCCGGTGGAGAGCTGAAAATTTTGTCCTATACTCGGCACTTGTGGCCTTTGAGCAGTGAGGGATCTTTTTCGTGCCAGCACCTACTGCGACACGGGACCTCGGTTTATACGGTCTCATCCGAAGGACCGGTTTCCACGTCCCACAGTGAGATTCGAACCCGCGACGTAAGGATAAACTCCTTACTTAGCGACTCTAGAGCAGACGCTCTAACCACTGCGCCACGCGGGCGACCATCTTTAGTTGTAAAATCTATGCAAGTTTGATCAATGTAGGATTTATAATACTAATAACCTATTCCAAAAAGATTTGAGCATCAGAAGCATGCAACCTTGTTCATTTGAACTAAATATGCTATTACGAATTGTGTTGCATCCATTCACGCAGAAAGATATAGGTAACAAGATTCCGTTATAGGATTGTAAGTTGTATCGTTCATATAAGTTTGTTGAAAATAGATATACTTGAAATAGATATACTTGAAAAAAAATGCAAGTCACACAAGCTCCATCCAAAGCTTGATTGGGAATTTTAAAGCCAGGAAGCAACATCTGTATGCAAAAATAACCAGTATAATAAGGCTTATACGTAGGTACCTTTCTACATCATTTCTACATCATTGGCATCATAAATGCAAGTTTGATCAACACAGGAGTGAAACTTACTTGAGAATGGACCTTTAATTAAAAACAAAACATCTTAAGCAGCCGAAAACTAATTGCACTTCGACAATATAAGGACACTGCTAACAGAATTAAATTCCTTTTTTTATATCCCAACACTAATATTCCATTATTAGTCTCTTTTCTTCTTGAACTGTGGATCGGAAATCAAACTTTTGAATTTCTTGCTGCAGGCCTACATAACAGCGTCAATTTTATGAAATGAGATTAATTCACGCATATGTTAAATATGACGCAGTTATGGAAATTTATGCCCAAATCATTTTTTGAGAAGGTGGGTTTTTTTCCTAGTTTTGGTTCGTACATGTTCTACGATTACAATGGCTCGGTAGATTGATACACCAGCTGTGAAACCAACAAACGTTGTTGAAGAAAGACGGATTATTAAACAATTTAATGATAATACTTCATCAAATCTTACATGTAGATGTTCTTTATATGTGAGAAATGATATAATAATAATAGTAAAGACACCGATTAATGTTGTCGTTTAAAATGAATCCTTGTCCTAGAAGTGATATTATTGAGTAAGTTAATGATCATGGTTTCATAACGCTCGTCAACATTTAAAAGCTGAAAAACATTTCACTTAGATTCTATATTGCGCAGAAATCCTTTTATTATAACGTATTTTCTACAAAATGTCAAATTGACTGTCATAAAAACTTCTGAGAAAATTTGCTCACACACATGAGGAGCTATCCATGCAAAATCATTGCTCAGTTTCTGTGTACTGTAATGACCTACATGTGGCGATATTGAACACAAGTTCAGCTTCCAAAACTTAATATGAATAGCCATAAACATTCATTTATTTATCGATATACATGTACGTATATTTTTCGAAGATAAAGGAAGACTAAATTTTCTTTTTATTTCAAAGAAGCACTCCTTCCTTTTTTGAAAATTAAAAAAAAAAACTTTCGAGAGTTGAATTTTTCATGCAATTGTGCAAATGAACGTGGTTCCTTTCGGGAAACTTTGCCCCGTCTACTATATTGAATGTTTTTCTCACCATAAATGTTAGTAATGCAAAAAAGTACAGTTGAATAATTGAAATTGAATTCTAAGTACCGTGGTAAATACACTGATCAAAAGTAAGTATTCGAAGGGAGTCAACCTGCATAGTTGAATTCTAAGCGTTTACCAGTTTGCTTATCCTATGTCTTACGCAATGTTACTTTTTCTTAAATGTCAAGAAGAACGGTTGATCATTTGACCAATAGAAATGATCGAATGTATAAAAAAAATTAATTATAAGATCTCTGTTGCGTCATATTTTCATTGTTTTCAATGATGCTGCTTTCATCCAATTTAGGTCTGATTCATATGGAATTTATATGTTGTGGGGTGTTGTAAGAAAAGGTTATTTATCATAATACCACGTCTCATGAATGAAAGTCGAACGATACTAACAGATTTTTCAAATCCCAAAATGCGAAATCAGAATTTAAGAATTGAAAAGTTCATTATTTTATTATTTTTTACTATAAAAAATTAAGCACGTCGTGTAGAATTTTATGCAATTTTAACACACTCCCCCATCTCTTCACGTGACGACAAAGAAGATTTGAATTACTGATAGATTTTGCTGATCCATGTCAAGCTACAACACTGAGTATCGAGAGTGTTACATAAATTATAGATACAGGTACAGATGAGTAAATGCAGGCCCTAGGCATCCTAAATGAATGGTCTTTAATTATATACAATACAGAGAATTAGACATGCGGTGACAGCAATCATGGATAGAGAAATGCGTACCATTTTTATGCAAAGCAAAAAATAAAAATCATCATTTTATACATGTACACGACTATCCTAATGGCGATTGGCACCAGTTTTCTTCTCCATAGAAAGAATCTGAAGTGTTTTTACTTCTTTCCACGTAAATATTTTATCAGCTCATGATGAACTGTTTCCATTACTAATATATCCCTCTAGACTTTGAGTAATTTAATACATTAACATGACTTTACATGTAATACATTAACATATATTTTATATGGCATTATACAGTTTAATGTTTAGGTCCTTGGATGTGTTATAACTTTACGTAATCTAGAATCAATCTTCAAAACAACAAGGAATTTTTTCAAATGTAAACAGGAAATGCATAACATGGAAGCAAAATATTTTACGATATACAAAAGTCTATGCGATGTGAACAACACTTCAGACCGATGTACAATACAATTCTACGGTTAATCACCCTTTTCTACAAAGAAAGGTTTGTTCTTCTAAGGGCAAAAGGACAAACTATCAAGTTTTTTTTTTAAAAAATTTTAATCTAACGGTTTTTGTGTGCGAAGACCATTCTTAATTATTACTTCCTGTCAGTGTTTCCTTCACCGAAAAAGAGAACAAATTTATTTTTGAAAACTGGCCAATCATCATTCATAATACTTAATATATGTGAGTGTTATTTTATTTTAAGAAAAGCAAACAGTACATCAATCTTCTTGTCGACAATTTTCAATTAGTTTAACGGCAGCTTGTTTGAACAGTAACACCACATAAGGAAACAAGCAGTGACATTTTTTCTATGTACCAGGACAATTCTCTTGGCAATTAATGTGGGAATGCAGAGAATTAAAAGAAATATGCGATGAAACACTTCATATATATCACAGGCTAATTTACTAGTGTCTGGTTCTTATGTATCACTTTTAGTAATTAATACAATTAATAATGTACTGAACTAATAGAAATCAAACAATAACTTAGAATGCCAGAATACGGATATCTCCACCAAATCGAAGACAAATCCAGTTATTTAGGAGAGGATATGAATATAACAAATCGTTTGTCCTCATTGAATTAAATTTGCCAAAGAACTGAGTTCAGCAAAGGTAATAAAAGTGATCATTATACCCTGTTCGAAATATGAAGTTGTGAGTTTCTGCATGCATAGAACTCTATCGCAGTTCATGAAATTGTCAAATACGAAAGTAAAAACCATTGCATATATACAGTTTCTTTCTTTTACTGCATAATATACATTGATTGAATAAGGCTTTTAATTAGAGTGTTTTGAGGGTGCTGCATCAAATGTTACCATTTAATGTCATAAGGTTTCCTACGGAAGCCGGTTGGTCCCAGGTAGGAAAAATATTTTAACTGGCGTCCGCCAGAAAAAATATTTTTCTACCTGGCACCTTCCGGCTTCCGTAGTTTCCACATTACGAAGAGCGTATACTACGCACGTAGTGGATGTGTAGCACATTACCATAAATGGAAAGGAGACAGGCTAGATACTTCAATAGTTGATAGATAAAATGATGTCACTGAATGTCATAAGCATAATATAGTTAGCATATTTATGATCAAAAATATATCTCCATAAAAGTTATGGTTTTCTGAACAGCAAAACTTTCCCTAGACAACGAGAAGAATCCTGGATTAGAAAATTGGGCACGGCCTTTCCATATGGTAGCAATGACAATGTCGATAGTGATGGGAATCTTTCAAGCCCAGGTTGTAGTGCTCAATGTGAATGTGATAGGAGTTTTTAACAGTACACTTGCAATAAACCTAAATACACGATGTCTTCTTTGATTCTCTACTACCTTATGTAAGTAAACAGTTGGGCCTTCATCACATTCTCACCAAACTTTACTCTGTCCCTTTGAAAGTTTTAAATAGTCTATTTGTAAAAGTCAAGGAAAGTCCACTCTACAGTGCCTAAAGATATCGAAAATCTGAAAC